CAGTAGGAAGGAGACTGCTAGAAGATGAATATTGCACACTTTTGAGGTAAGTCAACCCAAGTCAAAGTAGCTTAAATAGGCATGTATTTTGACTTATATTGTCAACGTAATTTTTTATTTTGATCTCCAATGTTCGTCAAAATACATATTGTAGAAATTACTTGGGGATGAAAATTGCCTAAGTTCATTATTCACAAATAGGGTACATATGTATATAGAGAAATAAATCCTTCCTTATTTTGAAACTTATCAGGCATATCTTACCTAAATTAGGAAAGGAAATAATTTTGAATAAAAATAGAAAAACATAAAATAAAATTGGAATAAATTATATTAAAGTTTTTCTAAGATACCCAATCAAATCTTATAAGATTTGGAAGTGGTGGTCGGCCCACATGAGAGAGGCATGTTGAAAGAACTAAATTTATCATATTTTCAGTCGCCCTCAAGCTCGTAGAAGTTTTACAGACCAAGCATGGTATTGAATTCGGAGAAGTTGTTGATAAGAAGAGCATTAGTGCATTTTAACACTAGAATCACATTCGTCGACTCCACCCATCTTGATGTGTCACGAGATTGGTGTTGTTTGGAATTATCTCCAGAGTAGAACTTGAAGTCTTCATCCCGTACTTGGTCATCAACCCTAAGTGTACTTAGGGATGCTTCTAGTTGACTGCAGATTATGTAGGTAGACGGAAGGCTGCTACAGGAAAGAGCTATAGTTAATGTTGTAGGAAAGCCTGCAGGGAAGCAGATAACATGCAAGGAAAGTTGTAGGATGCGGCCTGCAAGGCAAAAAGAAAGTAGATGTAGGTAAGAATTGAGGAAGAGCATGTAGCAGGGAGAAGCTTCAATGAAGGTGATCCAACAGAAAGACTGCTTGCAAGAAGAATTTTGGAGGGCCTACAACAGTGACACTTTCGGCTGCGAAGAGAATTCTGGAGGGGCTACAATAGGAAGAATTTCTAATGTAAGGAAGAGCTACAAAAGGGCTTGCAAGGAGAAATCCAGTTGAGGAAGTTCCAACTGCCTACAGGGAATAGCTTCCGGTGGATGTGAGTTTGCTACTAGGAAGATTCTGACTGTAGAAATTGAACAGAGGAGATCATGTTGGGAGAATTACTGTGCTAGGAAAAAGAGGAGGAGATTTGGAGGAGGGCATGCAAATTGGCTAAAAGAATTTTGGTGGAGGGCTTGTAGTAGGAGGATTCCGACTGTAGGGAGAGTTCCGACGACAAAGGAGAATAGAGGAGGATCTGCAACAAGATACTTTCGGCTCCAAGGAAGAGTGCTAACATAGAAGATTTTCGGGTAGCATGAAGTTATAGAAGCCTACAAAGAGAAATCGGTGTAGGCAAGCATGTAACAGGGAAATTTCGGGGTAGATGTTACTTCTTGGAGGATGGATAGAGTTGTTGATGCTTAATATATCTTTTTGCATGCTTAATTTCCCATTCTTTTTATATTTGTTTATGAATAAAGTTGCACTTTAAATGAAGATATTTTCATGTTTTTTGTGCGAGTATAATAGATAAAACAATTGGAGCGAACTGGAGCGAAAACGGAGCGAAATGGAGCAAATGGAGCAATGGATGTTTTGACCTGAGCTTTCGACACTTAGGCGTCGAACTCTGTAGAATTTCTAGAGAATGTGACGTCTAGTCGCTACATACTGGCGCCTAGGCGCTTTTTTTTCTAAGCCAACCGAGAAGATGATGGTGCCTAGGCACCAAAACTGCCTGAAAGTTTTTTGTGAGTTATTTAGTGGTTCAGGACGATGGAAAAAAGGATTTTTTGTCATTTGGGGACGAAGTTCCAATGTCTGGAACCCCCGAAAGACTGCAGGAAATCCATATTAGGAGTAGGATTCAACTTATTTAGAGGGATTTGAAAGGGAATTTGAGAGCATTTGTAAGGGATTGTATCAACAATTGAAAGAAGCAATAGAGAACTTCAGTGGAAGGATTTGATAGAGATAAAACTAAGTATTGTATGTTTTGATTGCATTATAATCCAATAAACACGTATTTAGTGAATTTATTTTGCTAAGTAGAATTTGTTTTATTGTATTGCGATCCTTTAAATCACATATTTAGTTTAATCACTTTGTTTCATGAAGTTTTTTTATTGATTTTATCATGCTTTGTGAGTAGAAACCCGTGCTTTTCTTTTGTGCTTGGTAATATTTGTAGGGTGTAAAAGTTTAAAGAATAAATCTTAGTTTTATATGTGATGAATGTTTTCCTAGATTTAATTTACATATCTTATCGACCATAAGATTTGTAGATCTTGTTGTGACCTATTAGGAATCGTAAGAGCGGTGGTGAATCAACATGAGAATATTCTCATTATCATTTAACCATGAAACGTAGTAGTTAGGTGGCTGTGCAAAGTTAGGGAGACAAGTATTTTGGGTGGTTCATATAGAGTTTTTTGGGTGATAAGCGGGGCATACCGTTACGGGGAGCCTATACGTGGCACCAAATAGCACAATTGCCAAATATAACTAACTAATTAGTGAACTAATCTTATTCATAACTCGGGAGAGGGTAGATAGAAATATGCTTCTTTTGTCACTACTTTATTCATATTCTTAAACTTCTAACATATAACCTACTTAATTATTTACAAAAGAAAAGCACTTTTTATTACTCTTGAATTTAACCTTATTAATTGCTCTAGATAGGTTTTTTCATAGGATTAGAATAATTATTTAGGAGTAGTGATAGTAAAACCACCTTTATTGGAACTCCAAACTAGGACTTTATAGGTGTGCCGTAGAGTAACCAACGATCAAGTTTTTGGCGCTGTTGCTGGGGAATCGCAATGATAGAAGAAATTTTCAGGGGAATTTTAGTTGAATCTGTAAGACTTAGATTTAGAAATTGTAGTATTTACATAGGGTAATTAGAATATTGTGATTTTTATGTTTAAAAAGAAAAGTTAAAATACCAAAAAAATTTTGAGTGTTAGAAATCTATCATATTATTCAAATGTTTAGTATTTAATGCATAGTTCAGGAGCTGCAAACCTTGAAACGTACGACTCAGAACTATAGAGAACTGTTAAGAAGATTAAAAAACAAAGAAGATTTCAAAAACTCATTGAAGAAATGGCAGATCAAAATCTGGAAATCCAGATATGGATCGTAATGTTAATAGACCTTTGAAGGATTATACAAACCCTACGAGGGATGAAATTCACTTGAGTATACAAAATTCCGCTGTAGAGGCCAACACTTTTGAACTTAAGCCTGCAATTATTCAGATGGTGCAAAATAATCAATTAGGAAGATCTCTATCTGAAGGCCCTAACTTACATTTAACAAGTTTCTTAGAACTCTGTCACAGTTAGGTATGATGGTGTCTCTAATAATGCTGTTAGACTTAGACTTTTTCCTTTTCTTTGAGGGATAAAGTCAAAATGTGGCTCAATTCATTAGCACCGGGGTCTTTAACTCAGAAATTTCTTGCCAAGTATTTTCCAACATCCAAAATAGCTAAGTTGCGGAATGATATCACATTGTTCAGTCAATATGACGGTGAATCAATTTACGAATCTTGTGAACGATTTAAGGACTTCTTAGAAAGTGTCCAAAGCACGCATTACCCGATTGATTTATTATACAAACCTTCTATTACAGATTAGTTGATTTTTTAAGAGCAATTATAGATGTTGCTGTAGGTGGCTCTCTCATGTCCAAACCTTATGAAGAAGCCTATTCTCTCGTTGAGGAAATGACCACTAATAACTTCCAATAGTCATCTGAGAGAGTCAACCTCAAGAAAGTAACTAATATTCATGAAAATGATGTACTTACAATCTTAACATCTCAAGTTGCAGCTATTGCGCGAAAATTAGACAATTATGGGATGAGTCAAAATCAAGAATTTCCTGTCATTGAGGAAAATTCATTTGGACAACTGGTTGATACTAACTCCGTTGATACTGTCTAGGGCTGTCAAAATGACTCGTTGTTCACGAACAGCTCGTGTTCGGCTCGTTAAGAATCAACATTTAGCAATGTAGAGCCCCAGCCTTAAAGTCATTATTTTGTGATTAGATTTATTTTTGAATAGTATTTACCCTTTCAAGACAATATATTATTACAATATTGTATCTAATCCCAAAACAAGAAATTTCAGCATTTGTGTGGTTCTTATCACGTCCACGTTAAGCACTTAGCAATTGTTGGTGTGGGTGAGGAATGCTGCATGGGAAGGTAGTCCTAAAAGGTGGTGAAATGCTAGTGAGTGGAGTTGGTGAGGTGTAGCCATAGGGTGGCAGGCAGATCGATGAGTCTAGGGGTGGTGATGAGCAGAGAGTTGTGTGAGAGGGATTGTGGGAAAGCAACTGTGATGGGAGTGGAAGGCAGGTTGTGTGGGTCCACCATGCAAATGGCATGTGAAGGAACTGATGCAAGGAGGAGTTGATGTGGTTGGTTTCGATTTTCAAGCTTTCATTGTTTTAAGATGGAAACTAGGGGGGATAGGCTGGCTGGGAGCAGGCATCAGGCGGCAATTTTTGTGGTGGGGATCTGCATTAGCTGCTTTTTAAAAAAAGAGTAAAATTTATTCTTTTGTTGTAAGCACGTGTGTTGGTTCAGTTAATTGATCGTTTTAGCACCTACATGAAGTGGGTCAACTATTTGTTGACCATAGTTTAATCCACAATTTAGCATTAGAACGAGCTACAGTCCAATTCAAGGACCTTTTTGTCATACATGAAGATTTCTTTCTTCCATGATTTTTGTGCAACACTAGCTGGTTTTGGGATAGGCAATAATAACACGTTGTTCAATATTCATTTCTTAAACCAAAGTTGACATGATTCTTTTTTGTTCAACGGTTTTCCTTTTATTGGCTTTATTAAAGTGGTTTCTTTAGGTGTACTATTCTTTTTTGTTCAACGGTTTTCCTTTTATTGGCTCTATTAAAGTGGTTTCTTTAGGTGTACTAATTATCAACATGTTTCGTTTCTTATGTTATATTGATGTGCAGAATATCATCGGTTCAGAGGTCGCTCAAGATATTATTAAGGGATATTTGGAAATAAGAGGCTATGGTGATTCTAACAGTAGTAAGTCAGAAGCTCAAACATCGATGTTTCAAGCCTATGTGAAGCCCCCTGTTGATGAAGGTCTTATTGTTGGAAACAAGAAACAAAATAGAATACCAAAAGAAGGATCCATAAACAACAACCAGGACCATAACAAAATTCTACAAGAAAGTTCAGATTCAAGAAACACTCATGGAAACTCGAATACCACTAAAAGAAAAAAGGCTGGAAAGGTGATATCTATTGCCGAGGCTGCTAAAGGGTCTGTGGTTTTCCAGCAGGGAAAGCCATGTACTTGCCAAGCTCGTCGTCACCAGCTTGTGAGCAATTGCTTATCCTGTGGTAAGATAGTTTGTGAACAGGAAGGTGAAGGCCCATGCAGCTTTTGTGGTGCACTTGTGCTGAGAGAAGGTAGCACATATGCTGGTTTGGAGAATTTTTCAATTCCAATATCAGAGACAGAAGCTACTGCTGAAGCATATGCGAAGAGACTTGTAGAGTATGATCGGAACTCTGCAGCTAGGACAAAAGTTATAGATGATCAGAGTGACTATTATGAGATTGAAGGAAATAGTTGGCTATCGGCACAGGTTATTTTCTTCTCCACACCTTCACACTTTTAACTGCATTAGCGACTGCTGTATTTTATTAGAAGTATAATTGATGTTTGCTAAAGCAGTTCTTATTCATGTGCAAGATCCATTATGGACTGCATCAGATTAAATCTAAAACTTTCGTAAGCACTTGTAAAAACCACATCTGCAGTTCTACATTCCTTTGGAAGTTGGCTTCCATGACTTTCTCATGGAGGAAATTTTTAGAATTACAGAACCTACTCTTTTGGACCTTGTTTATCACCTTAAGAAATGTTTGTGAATGCTAGCTAGTCTAGTTAATAAAGACATTAGGAGCCGTTGCCAAAATATTGGGTTCTAATCTTATCAATCTCATAGTAATTCTCATAAGAAAGTTAAATGAATGCATATGCACTCGGTAAATTCCTTTCAAGATAACTTCTTATGCTTCAAGGAGGGTTGTTTTCTTTCACGGTAGTTTTATTTCAAGGAAATATGAAGTTCTTTTTTTTTTTTTTTAGCAAACTGCCAACATGTTCCCAACTAATATTTCACATAATCAAGTATGAATAATGAATAATATTGTTAGTTATGATTCATGTAGGGTAATGAAGAATATATGCTTGCTAATGCATACACCGTAGAAAATTAAAGAAAATATATGCATGAATGTATTCTAACAAACTTTCTTTTAGCAGTAGGCAAAGCGTACTCTTATGTTTGATTAAATAATGTGTTTATCATATTAACTGGCATCCTCTTTAAAGATGAGCAATCCAAATATTATAAAGAAAAAGTGTAATTTGGTACCTTACGATTCAACCTTATGGATGAATCTTTAATCTTTATATTTTTTTGAAGGTAGTTATCATATATTGATGCAATTTAAGTTTGTTAATAAGATTTTTTTATGAATTTGCAAGTAAGAAAGCAAGGGATCAAAAATGAAGTTGATATCATTTTGATTTGTTGACATAAGTTTAATCTGAATTGATAATTCTTTTACGGTTATATTATCAAGTTATTTATGTAATTTAAGTAATTTGATATGTATTATTTGTTCAACTTTTTAATCTGGAGGATTCGGGATTGATATGATCTGATATTTAAAATCAAATTTAGAGTAGGCCTTTTTTAGTCAAATTCAATGTTAGGTTCAGGTGCAAGAATAGGTTCTAACGTGTTTCTAGGTTTTGATGTAGATCTCAGTACATGTTCAAATATTGATATACATAGTATATAATTAATTCCTCAACTTTTAATCATTTCTTAATCTAAGGTACCATTTCGGATCATTTTTGTTTTTATTTTTGTTTTTATTTTTATTTTATTTTAGCTATGTTATTATTTGAATTAAAACATATTTGGTGGTGGTACCAATATTTAAAAACACTCAAAATACTTAAATGATTATTTTGAGTATTTTTAGAAACATATTAATTTATTTTAAAAAAAATAAAAACAAGTAAGAAGTATACTAAACGAACATGTTTTTAAAAGCAAAACAAAAACAAAGCTAAAATAAAAATATTGAATTGAACCCAGATTGACCCTAAATTAATATTAGAAAGTGGTTCAATGAGTTTAAAATCCTTTGTAGATTCTGTTATGGCCCAGCATAGTGTCGGTCCACCTTAGTGGACCGGCTAGAAATCACATAACCGCCCATAGGCGGGCCGGTCTGGGTTGCATGAAGAAGCGAGACTGGCAGAGTGGGCCGCAGAAGGGAGCGGGCAAGGCACATAGCAGAAGCAAATTTGGAGAGGGTGGGGTCCACTAGGGTCATAATCACATATTCAATGAGGAGGAATTAGAGGAGTATGGAAGGTAAGGGGAGAAAGAAAGTTTTTGAAATGCTGGGAGTGGAGTCTATTAAGAGGGAGAATTTAAGGTTTGCTTTCTGGATGCATATTTTGTCGTGGCTGTTGTTTTTCTTTCTTCGTGTTGTGTTCCTAGCGACGTCTAGGTTGTAGGAGAGACGATCTACCTCTCAAATAGTAGATTAACCATGTATCTTACTTGTTCTCTTTTGGTTTTTGTAAGAACCCTTATTTTGTTTCTTCTACCTATTTATTGCCGTTCTGTTTGGTTTTGTTCGCTGATTTTGATACCCAGGAGTATCAAATTGGTATCAGAGCATAGATCTTGGTGGGAGGGTAGCAAAGAAAGTTGATGTACTAGAAGGAGAGGTAGGACAAATCAAATCAGGAATGGAAAGGAGGTTCGCCAACATGGACGACATGTTTTCTTCCATTGAAAGTTGAATAAAGGATGGCTTTGAAAGCATAGGAGAATCACGGGAGATGATAAAAAAGCTCATGGAAATGCAAGCCAAGGCCGTGCCAATAACTCCAGGTGCCAATTTTAACCAGGGGTTGATCAAGGAATACTTGACTAGGTCAAAAGGGAAGGAGATCAAGTGAGGAGACATCGAAGAAGACCTCATATACCTACAAGAGCGTCCTCCTAGGACTGCAACGGGAGGGGGATGGGCCAAAAATTGAAAAAGGTATGGTGTAAGGGGCGCGAAAGAGCACGATGGAGAAAGGAGGGATTCGGGGGTGGGATATGCCTATGACCGAAGGAGGGAGTTCCATCCTAGACACATGGGGGAAAATACTGGAGTAAGAAGAGGTTGGGGTGGAGATGCAATGGTCAGAAAACTGAGGATGCCAATCTTCGAATGGGAGGATTGCGCATGGATAGGTGTATCGGGTGGAGCGATACTTTGCAATTAACAGGTAGACTGAGGAAGAGAAGCTCATGACAACAGAATTATGCTTGGAGGAGAAGACTTTAGCGTGATTGCAGTGGATATAAGCAAGATATTCGATACACTTATGGGAGGAGTTTAAGGATTTCTTGTTGGAACGTTTTTGCGCCATTCGGGAAGGAGACCTACACGAGCAATTATATGGTCTGACTCAAGAGAGGATGGTTATGGGGTAGAGAGAGAAGTTCGAGCTCTTGTCAAGGAGGTTGATGGGGATTACTACAACAGGCTTGGGAGGAAACTTATTGAAAGGCCTAAAGCCCTGACATACGAGTGGCTACGAGCAACCATCCACCCCTTGAGACCACGAGGATTGAGGGAAATGATGGAGCTCGCCCAGTTGATGGAGGATAAGAAACAGGCGATGAAGCCCAACAAAGGCGGCAACCTCAGAGGATTCTACAAGAGTGTCGTGACAGCCACAACACTGAGGACCCAGACAATGTCATTTTAGAAAGAGACGCCGAAGGAGTACATGACCCCGCCCTGGGGTTAATATCAAGCAATTCGCAGATGCAGAAGTGTAGGGCAAAAGAGCTAAATGATTGTGCTACCTCTGTGACGAGAAATACGCCCCAGGACACCATTGCAATGAACATGCCCTTCAGGTTTTTTTGGTTTAGAAGGAGGATACAGAGTGAGGAATCAAAAGAGGAAGCAGCGGAGGAGGAGCGTATGCATTTGGTTGCAGCGTAGGTGCCCCTCAATTTGGTGGTGGGATTTACCCAGAATCACACCGTGAAGTTGAGGGTGGATAGGGGAACAACCGATTGTGGAGTTGGTGGATAGCGGGGCCACACAAATTTATCTTAAATCAGGTTGTAGAGAAGCTAGGGTTGAAGCCGGTGACTACAAGGAACTTCGATGTCATGATGGGAACAAGGAAGGTGGAGAATAGTCGGGGAATTTGCAAGGGGCTAGTTCTAACACTACATGGCCTACAAGTTGGTAGAAGACCTTTCAGATTTGCGCAACGCAGATGTGATTTTGGGAATTAAGTGACTGCTAATATTGGGAGAGATGAAGGTGGATTGGAAGTCCTTGACAATGGAGTTCTAGGTGGAGGGTGGGAAGGTGGCGCTGAGAGGAGATGCTAAATTATGTAAAACCATGGTGTTGCTTAAAATCATGGTTAAATCAATTCAGGGAGCGGGACTAGGTTACTTGGTGGAGTTGCAAAGCATTGAGGAGATTCGAGAATCAGAATCTTGGTGGAGTTGCAAAGCATTGAGGAGATTCGAGAGATTCTGACAAGAGTTTTCGGAAGGGGTCCAACGATTCATACAACCGTTTACAGATGTCTTCTAATAGCCAAGCGGGTTACCTCCTTTGAGGGAGCACAAACATGCCATTACATTGAAGGAGTGTTTCTCCCGTTAGCATCTTACCATACAGATACCCTCAGATTCAAAAGGATGAGATAGAGAAGATGATCCGAGAGATGCTCAAGGTTGGGATTATCAGGCCTAGTGTGAGCCATTTTCTAGTCCCGTCCTGTTGGTGAATAAAAAAAGATGGTATGTGGAGATTCTGCGTCGACTACTGGGCTTTGAATAAGGAAACAATGCTGGACAAGTTTCTTATGCTTGTGATTGATGAATTATTGGATGAGCTTTGTTGGGCAGCTTTCTTAAAAATTGATTTTTAAGTCAATGTACCACCAAATCAGGATGAATCCAGCAGATGTGCACAAGACAACATGAAGGACACAAGAAAGACATTATGAGTTTTTAGTGATGTTGTTTGTCCTCACCAACGCTTCGATGACATTTTAATCCTTCATGAATAGGGTTTTTTAACCTTATCTTTGAAAATTTGTTTTGAGTTTTTTTAATGGTATTCTAATCTACAGTCGTACAGAGACAACATGTGGGGCACTTGAGGACAGTTCTGGAGACTTGGAGGGAGCACCAGTTGTATGCTAACTTGAAGATATGTTCTTTTGCACAATTATAGGTGGAGTATCTGGGATATGTGGTGACTAAAACGGTGGTAGCAGTAGATCAGTCAAAGATCGAGGCTATGATTGATTGTCCTTTACTAAGGAGTTTTAAGGAGTTGAGAGGATTCTTGGGACTCACAGGTTACTACTGGAAGTTCGTGAGAGGAAATGACACGATAGTTTGATCATTGACGAAGCTGGACTCACAGGTTACTACCGGAAGTTCGTGAGAGGAAATGACACGATAGTCTGATCATTGACGAAGCAGTTGAAGAAAGACAATTTCTAATTGGGGGAAGC